CCCCCCCCCCCCCCCACGCCCAGGCCTGCAACTGGAGCGTGGACAATATAAATGGGGGCCCAACATCGGTAACAATAAATTGGGATGGGCCTGGCTCTGATACCGTGATAAGAATGAACCTTGGGCCTAACTCAAACCCAAAAACTAGCTTGTGAGGTGATGATTGTCCAAGATCATATAAGGAGACAAAGATACTCATAACCCACCGATGTGAGACACAACTCAACAAGTGTTAAAAGCTTTACAGGGATTTTAGTCATTTTAACATAAAAAGGTTCTTATCAGCACTTTTCCACCAAACACATCAACTACTTATTTTAAGCTTCATCACTTCTAGCCAAACACGTAACTACTTCTTTTTTTAACTCAGCTCCAGCACTTCAAAAGTGCTTTTAAGCCCAAGTAAAGCTACTATTATTCAGCTAATCCCAATGGGCTCTAGATACACCCGGGCATATATCAGCATTAAATCTCTTGATTCTCACCGTGCTCCCTCAAACTCAAGGTAGAGAAGGAATTTGTAAATCCAAACTGGCACGCTGCCACAAAAAGTTATTCTCAAAGGAACAATGATTTGTAAAACATCATTAAAATAGCGTCGCCGATATAGTGTCACCAGAAAGACAAGAAGTGTTGAAATTATCATCCACTGAAAGTCACAGATAAGTGCTTCTCATATCACACTAAAAGGAATCTCCTCCCAATTACCAATAAGAGATATGATAATAAAATTTCCACGACATCATCGGCATAGTTTTGTTGAATGATAGAGGATTTCCAAGAAGATATTCTCCGNTATCTCTTATTATGTTGTTATTTTATTATGCATTTTTATGGTACTAATATATCGGCTCCTGTTGTTTTGTTGAGCCGAGGGTCTCCTGGAAACAGCCTANTCTCCTCCCAATTACCAATAAGAGATATGATAATAAAATTTCCACGACATCATCGGCATAGTTTTGTTGAATGATAGAGGATTTCCAAGAAGATATTCTCCGTATCAAGATTTGATCCTCTAAGATTTGTCCATATCAAGTTTTGATTCTCTAAGATCTTTCCATATCAAATTTTGATTCTTTGTTTTATTTTATTTTGTATAATCCCAAATTTTATGGGATTTTGTTAGATTTTATGGGATTTTGTTTCTAACCTCTTCTTGTATGTAAAGCCATGTATATGACATTCAAAAATATGAATGAAATTATTCAAGTTTCTTACTCTTTCCACATGGTATCAGAGCCTTGGGCTTATTACTGACAGATTGTTTTCATTCATCCAGCTTTTCATCACATTTGTCCTCTTTATTCCGCCCAAGGGTTGATACCATTTGAAAACCATGTCCGAAGAGAGTACTATTGCGAATACTCCGGTCTCTGAAAATGTTTCTGCCACTGTAGAGCATAGCTCTACAGTTTCAACCGAAGATTTACAAAATATTCAAGCCTCTTATCGGTTGAATGGGAAAAATTATCTAAAATGGTCTCAGCTTGTTCGTACCTTTCTAAAAGGTAAAAGGAAATTAGGACATCTCCTCGGTACAGGACCATCCAAATAAGACCCCAAATTTGATGCATGGGATGAACATGATTCAATGGTGATGTCATGGTTATGGAACTCCATGCTTCCAGAAATTAGTGATACTGTTATGTTTCTGAATACTGCTAAGGAAATTTGGGATGCAGTGAAGGAGACATACTCTAAAGTTCATGATGCTGCCAGGATCCATGAAATATAAACAAAATTATCTGCAACAAAACAGGGAGCTCGATCTGTCACTGAATTTTCTAACCTTTTACAAGGGTTATGGCAAGAGATGGATCACTATCAATGCATTCAAATGCGTTGAACAGACGATGCTGTAATTTTGAAAAAATTTATTGAAAAAGAAAGAATTTATGATTTTCTTGCAGGCTAAATGCAGAGTTTGATGTTGTACGAGTGCAAATTTTAGGGAAAGAAGATCTGCCATCATTGAATGAGACAATGGCCATTATACGGACAGAGGAAGGACGGAGGAGTGTTATGCTTGAAACTCAAATAAATGAAGGATCAACTCTTATGACAAAAGGGACAAATAAAAAGGAATCTGGAGTTTCACAATTGGAGAGCACCATCAAGCCCGCAAGTTCATTCAAACCGATTGTCAACAGGGACAATCTTTACTGCACTT